TTAAGTAGTTGCGTTGCGTCCGTCGAAACCCGCGTTCGATCCCCCGTTCCCCCGAATTTATTTTCAAGTTTGTCTGCTTTAATATAAGGTTTCCAAAAACAAAAATAGTAGAAACAACTGCGGGAAAAGTATAAATAAGTTAATTAAATAATTTTTAAAATTTTTTTTTATGAAAAAACCCCACTTTGTATAAGTATTAAATATTTATTATTATTTTAAATAATAATTAATGTAAAATTAACGAATAAATTATACAAGAAACTTTCGTTTCTATTTTAGGGGAAATTTTCTAAAAACATTTACGGAACAATTGTGAAATTAACAGAAATAATTTTAGAGAAACTTCCAAAAAAACTTCCTTAAATTTTTCAGGAAATTTCAGGGTGTCTAGTATTTTCGTTCAACAAAATTCCCGGTTATGTCCAAATTTTTTCCCGGTTTTTTTTCTCATCAAATTTAAATTTAAAATCGATTTCGAAAATAAATAAATCTTTAAATTTTTTTAATTTTTCAAAAATAATCTTGTCTCTTTATAATTATAATTGAAAATTTGATTTTTTAATTTTATTAAAATTATATTGATAATAATTGAATTTCTGCAAAAAAATTTCACTATTTATAAAAACAATTGAATCCTTCCAAAGAATACTATTATTTATGAAAATAATTTAATTCTTGTGAAGAATTTTATTAAAATTTTTAAAAATAATAATCATTAATAATTAATTATTTACTTAATAAGTAATAAACATTTAATCAGAAATTTAAAATTAAATTATAATTACGGTCACTAACTTCCCTTGATTATTTTCGAAAAATTTAAATAAAATTCTTTAAAACAATTCAATTATTTTTTAAAAAATGTAAACAAATTTCAATTATTCAAAAAAATTTCAATTATTTGTTTAGAAAAATTCAATTATCTTTAAACAATAGAATTAAAAAATTACAACAATCTTATTTTTTAGAATTAAAAAAAAAAATTGCGAAAGTTCAATTTTATTAAACAATTTTAAGTATGTATATTTTTTTAAATTAACTAATAAAAATTTTAAGTATTAATCTTCGCAGTAAGAAACATGAATACATTAGAATTTAACTCTTTATAATATTCAATTATTAATCAATTATTAAATTAAAATACTTTGAAAATTCTATTTGTTAAAAAGTTTCTAATGAAATTCTTTAACAAATTTAATTACATATTTTCAGTCGAATTGATTTTTTACTATCAAATTAATTATTTTTAACTAACTTAAATTTAGAGAACAGTATAAATACCTATAAAAATATTTCTATAAACTCCATATTTTTTAAAAAATTTATTTACATAATATGTTTGAATTGGTGACTGATTTTTTACTATCAAATTAATTATTTTTAACTAACTTAAATTTAGAGAACACGGTGGTCTTCAAGCACTTTTAGGTTTACCTAAAATGAGTCAAAATTGTGCTAACGCAGTTTTATCTGGAATCGTCCCAAGATTCCAAATTTTCATTTCCAAAAATCGTAGCTGATTATTTTTTCGAAAAAAACATATATAGAGTAATGTCACCTTGAGTGGACCGCCTACGCTTTTTTTCTAAAAAATTCTTTATGAAAGCAAATTAATCGGAGGTTTCTATTCCAAGCTTAAGTTTAAATCCCTAGATAAGTGTTTATGCCATAATAGCTTTGATTTTTTTTATTGGAAAAAACAATTGACTTTTAAAAAAAGCTAATTTTTAAGGAATGAAAAAAGTGTAACCTTAAGGGGTTATGCCACTCTAGAAACCGAAAAAATAGGCATTTTTTGTGAATTTTTTGCAGAGAATTTATAAAGTCAATTAAAATTGGAATATGAGGAGTTTATTGTACATCTTTTGAAGTTTAAAAATATAAATTTTCATAATAATTTAATGAAAAATGGCGACGCTGTTGGGGTTTTCCGTCGACATCTCTGTGGCGCATATGGTCCGTGGCCGCACCAACTGTTCCCGTAAATTTTGAAATATCTTGAGTATATAATTTTTTATTTATTGTACATTACAATAGCTAAAGCAACACGTAGGATTTTTTCGATATATTGATCCATGGTCAAATGGCGCACTTCTAAAGTTAACCTTTCTAAATTCTACCAAAAAATCGTCAGTAAATTGTTAATAACAAATGAACAATACAAAATAAAAAAAAAATCCTAAGTGATGCCTTAAAAAATATATTTTCAAAGATGTTTGTGAAGTTTGAACTTAATCGGTTGAAAATTGTACGAGTTGTTAGTGCGGCCAACTCGAAAAATGTAGTTTTCAGATAATCGCGTTTAAAGTTTAAAGTTAATATGCTCTTCACATGCTTGACTATGCCTAACTGACTGAAACAGACGCTTGCATACTGTTTGTGAAGCCAAATTGTGTAGAATAGACTATAGTTTAGACAGAAAAGTAGCCTTATACCTGCTCTAGATCCTTCAAAGATCACCTCCCGTAGCGCGCTAACAAAAGGACCTCGCCGCTACGAAAATACGAAACTACGATAATAAATTACTTAGAGATTTTCCCTAGCCGTAATACTACGATATGTTATTTTTGATACCCTAAGGGACTATTTAATGCAAAAAAATAAAAATCGATTTTTTTAAAATCCTAGAGTGGCATAACCCCTTAAGTGGACCACTCCTAAAAAATTGTAAAAGTTATTCTAAATTCTTTAATGTATTTAATATTTCTGATATATTGAAACAAAATTTATGCTTATGCAGCTTCAGACCATGTATGTGTCGCAATGTTTACAAGTGAAACCATTTTTAATAATTTTGTCACATATCACATCAATATCACAAAAAAATCAATAAAGAACATAAATCATATTTTCAAACTAATTTATTGTCAATTTATATCTAAAAAATGTTAAACTGACATTAAAAATGGAAAAAACAGGCAGTCCACTCATGGTGACAAACAACTTTTTATGGCAGCCATCACAATTTTTTTTAGTCAAAATTATTACTAAATTAAACTAAGACAATCAATTTCAATGTCCAAAGTAGTAGGAAAAAAATAAGTTACCTTTTAAAACTTAAATTTTACACTACTTTTACACTTCCAAATCACTTTACTCATTGAAAGAGCGACTTCTTTTTTGGTTTGTGTTCTCAAAAATGCGTTATATCAAACGGTAACGTATATGACTATTGCGGAACTTAATTTCTTACGGTTTCTAGGTGCGGTGCTGCTATTCGCACTATTTATTTCACGTTTCCGCTGTCAGATAACGTAAAAGCTCAGGCGGTCCACTCAAGGTGACATTACCCTATGGGAAATTCCACGTGAGATTTTAGTCGACAGTGGGATTTTTTTACAATTAACTTTTTAAAACTGTCTACAGCGTAGACCCTTTAATTTAAAACAAAGAACACAAATAGATTAACATTTATACGCTGCAGACAGTTCTAAAAAGTTAATTGTAAAAATATCCCATGTGATGCTTGCAAGTGATTTTTGAAAATGTTTTAAAACTCATTTAACACATCAGGCCCATTTCGGGACTTTTTGGAAACTCTCCTCTATATTATAAGGTATAAATAAATTTAAAAAAAATTTTTTAAATCCGGCCCAAAGTTAAAAACAATTAATTTGTTTATAAAAAAAATTTTTTGTTTACATTTCTTAAAACTCGAAAGAAAACTAAAACTTTCATTTTTTGACAACTTTTTCCTAAACTCAATATTTTCGGAATTATAAGCTACTGAATATAAGTCTACAATTACAATTTAAAAATTTCGAAAATTCATAACTCGAAAATTTGTACAATTAAACAAAAATAAAAAAATACGAATCTAATTTGTTTCGATACAGAATAGAAAAAAAATATTTTTTGGCCGATTTTAAGAGATGGACTTAAATCTCACGTGGAATTGCCTATATATATGTTTTTTTCGAAAAAAGAATCAGCTACGATTTTCGGAAATGAAAATTTGGAATCTTGGGACGATTACAGATAAAACTGCGTTAGCACAATTTTAAATCATTTTAGGTAAACCTAAAAGTGCTTGAAGACCACCGTGAGAACAGTATAAATACTTATAAAAATTGAAATAAAAAGTGATTTTTTAAAATCAAATTAAAATAATAAAACTTTTTTAATTTTAGTAAAAAAATTCTTGGTTTGGTATAAAATTCCCGGCTAATTCCCGGTTTTTCATGGTCAAATAAAATTCCCGGTTATTTCCCGGTTTTCCCGGAATTCCCGGTTAGTAGACACCCTGAAATTTCCAGTCCTTTTTCCAGGAAAATTCCATTGATAATTTCCTGGAAGTTAACAGTGGAAACTTTAAATCTTGAGACATATCAAGTTTCCTGGAAGTTTCCAGGAACTTAACACGTCAAATTTCCGAACTTAACGTGGGAAACTTCCAGGAAACTTCCTGGAAAAAACTGTGCTATGTGGGTGGATTGCGATTATTGAGCATTGAAATCTTTTTTTTTATTTACAGCCCCTCACCGAAATATAGCCGGTAAATGTAAAGTTCCGTTAAAACTTGAAATTTGTGCGTAGCCCTTTTTTCACAATAGAATCGCGGGTCTATTGTTAGGAGGTTCGGGTCTCTAACCTAATTTTTATTGCTCAAAAGTTTTGCCATTTTAAAATTTCAAGTAAAATGAATATAAATTCAAAATCTAGAAATCTCCACAATTACAAATATCTAAAATTTATTATAAAAAACATTTTTTTAAGAATACTGTAACGTATCTCGAAAACCGTAATTGATAAATAAAAAAGGATATCATTTTTGATTTTAAGTTCCAAAGTATATATTGCATACATAATAAGAGCATATTGTTAGATGAATTCTAAGTCGATGAAAAACAAGTATACCCTGCCGGAAGAATGGACTGAAAAAGTACTGAAATTGTACTGGCCTCCAGTACAATTTCAGTCCGTTTTTTCAATGTTTCGGTAGACATTTTTAAAGTCCTTCAACAATAGTTTCAAATGTAGGTTATGTTAACAAACCATTGTTAACTCAGGTTAAAATCCCCGTACAGGATCCTTAAAGGATCCTCTCGGGATCCTTTGCAGGTCCTGTGCAGGTTCCCGACCGGATCCCGTACCCGTCCTGCACAGGATCCCGACCGGATCCCGTGCAGGAAATTGGAACAGGGTTCCTGTGCAGGTTCCGATGCAGGAACCTTAGCTATCAAAGGTTCCTGTAAAAGTTCCTGTACAGGAACACTTGCAGGATCATGTACAGGAAACTTTTTAATTTTTTTTAATTTTTATATGTTAAGCAACATTTGACATACATAGACTTCATGTTTCAATATGTTAGGCTCGTATAACAATGTTGGACAGAAAAATGTATTGCGCATTCAAGAAACTCATAGAAAACTACTGCGCAGGAGTTAAAAATATAAATAAATTAATTGAGAAAACTGTGTAGGATCCTTTACGGGTTCCTTACAGGATCCTTTATACTTAAGTACCTGCAGTTTACAAAACTGTAAAGGTTCCTGTGCAGGAACCTTTACAAAGTTTCCTGTACATGATCCTGCAAGTGTTCCTGTACAGGAACTTTTACAGGAACCTTTGATAGCTAAGGTTCCTGCATCGGAACCTGCACAGGAACCTTGTCCCAATTTCCTGCACGGGATCCGGTCGGGATCCTGCACAGGACCTGCACAAGATCCCGAGAGGATCCTTTAAGGATCCTGTACGGGGATTTTAACCTGGGAACAGTCTAAAAGTGAAAATAAAAAAAGGTTAACAAAATTTTCAACGAAATTCCCGTTAAATTTTAAACTTATATTGCAACCCCTGCTTTAACAACACAGGCACACAAAAAAAAAGTGTCGTGGCCGAGACACTACAGATATTCCGATGTATTTTTGGCCGCTGAATCCGAATCTGATGTCCGAATGCTCAAATTGGTTCTTTTTTTGAGTTATACTCAAAAAACGACTCAAAACACGAATTTGAACCAAAAAAATTTAAAATTTTTTTTGTGACATAACAATAGCATATTTCCATGTATTTTTTCCCGCTGAATCCGGATTCGAAGTCAGAATTGACAGATATGCTCAAAATTTTGAACTAAACTCAAAAAACGACTCAAAAAACCGAATTAAAATGACGAAAATGAAAAATTTCTTCTGTGACACTGCAAAAGTATATTCCTATGTATTTTTTCACGCTGAATCCGAATTCGAAGTCAAAATTGACAGATTTTCTCAAAATTTTGAGATAAACTCAAAAAACCACTCAAAAAAAGACTCAAAAAACCGAATTAAGATGAAAAAATTTTTTATGACACTACACTACTATATTCCCATGTACTTTTTCCCGCTGAATCGGAATTCGCAGTCAGAATTGATAGATTTGATCAAAATTTTGAGATAAGCTCAAAGAATTGATAAAAAAGCGATTTAAAATAAAGAAATGGAAATTTTTTGCTGTGACACTACATTACAGTATTTCCATATATTTTTACACTCGGATCTCGCATTTAAAGTCAGAATTATTCAAATGGCTCAAAATTTTGAGACACACAAGAAAATCTGTTAAGTTACAAAAATTATAGTCAAGAAACTCTACTTTTCTTGCTAGTACACTACATTAGTATACTCTGATGTTTTTACATATGCTTCTAAATTCAAAGTTAAAATTATTAAATTGGCTCAAAATTTTAAGTTGAATCCAAAAATGCTCAAAATTTAATTTAATGCAAAAGAGTTCATTTTTTGGTATTGGGTAGTGTATTCTCATGAATTTTATATACGCTGAATACAAATTCGAAGATAGAATTATCAGATTGACACAAAATTTTTTATGACTCAAACCCTGGTTACAGGTACAAGTGAAATAAATTTTCGTCCAATATATCACAAGCTAAGACAGAGTTGTTTGAGTGAGGTAACTCTAGATTTGTACTGAATACCAAAACCCTCCATTATTATAACATAAGGTTTCGACAAAAATTCCCTTTTACATGCATGTTTTTGAGCACATTTAATAAAACCCAAAATTTTGAGCCACTTTGAAAATTCTGACTTCGGAATCACAGTGAAAAAATACATGGGAATACACTAGTGTAGTGTCATAGCAAAAAATTTCCATTTCTTTATTTTAAATCGCTTTTTTTATCAATTCTTTGAGTTTATCTCAAAATTTTGAGCAAATCTGTCAATTCTGACTGCGAATTCCGATTCAGCGGGAAAAAGTACATGGGAATATAGTAGTGTAGTGTCATAAAAATTTTTTTTCATCTTAATTCGGTTTTTTGAGTCTTTTTTTGAGTTTATCTCAAAATTTTGAGCAAATCTGTCAATTTTGACTTTGAATTCGGATTCAGCGTGAAAAAATACATAGGAATATACTTTTGCAGTATCACAGAAGAAATTTTTCATTTTCGTCATTTTAATTCGGTTTCTTAAGTCGTTTTTTGAGTTTAGCTCAAAATTTTGAGCATATCTGTCAATTCTGACTTCGAATCCGGATTCAGCGGGAAAAAATACATGGAAATATGCTATTGTTATGTCACAAAAAAATTTTTAAATTTTTTTGGTTCAAATTCGTGTTTTGAGTCGTTTTTTGAGTATAACTAAAAAAAAAACCAATTTGAGCATTCGGACTTCAGATTTGGATTCAGCGGACAATAATACATGGGAATATACTACTGTAGTGTCTCGGCCATTCACTTTTTTTTTGTGTGCCTGTGCAATAGACCCGAAAGCCTATTGTTGTATGGGATTATAATTTTATGGCTTAAAAAGTTTACAATTTAAATAATTCAATTTTCAAAACAAAAAAATTTTAATCTGTGATGTTTCATGATTACAAATATCTAAAATTCAGTATAAGAAATTTTTAATTAAAAAAGTTATAAACTATCTACCAAACTCTAATTGTTACGTAAAAACGGATATTATATTTTTGAATTTAGGTTCACATGAATATTTAGCATACATAATAATTACTTGTAAAAAATCTGAGTTTATTAAAAACAAATATAATGTTGAAATATAAATAAAAAGTATTTTTAACATTAACAAAGAAATATTCGTCCTTCAACTTAATGACGGTCAGGCCATAAACATCACCTATAGCGACCTTTTTGCAGGTAATTTTTCCCAGTACAATTTCAGTGCTGAAACGCAGCAAATTTTCACTGAAATAGCACTGAGCTCTCAGTACTAATTCCCCAGTACAATTTCAGTCCATTCTTCCGGCAGGGTAATCTTTAAATAAATATGAATATAAACAAATAAAAATATTTCCCTTCATTTTTATGACGGTCAGTTGACCTTTTTCCAGGTAAAAAAGGGTGTCGACTTTGTATAAAAAACCTGACTAGGTTTGAAGCTTTCTGATTAAACATGACTCAAGCCTGACGTTCTGTGGCTGCAATCGTAACAAATGCAGCCTAAAGTCATCACAGATTCTGACTAAATTTCTGTCGTTTTGTGATTTTATTTTTAGTAGGGTACATAAGTGCGGATTTCACTTATTGATAGGGGAGAGTGAGGCAAAATGGGGTAGGCGGGTCAAATGGGGTACCTCTGTTTTTCCATGATAGCAGGTACTTTTAATTTTTTTTCCCTATATCATTCATGTTGATAAAAAACTGTTATTAAGGATTGTCACCGGCAATATAAGGAAATGAGAGAAAATTATAAAAATTTGACAGTTTAATCTTTATATTATTTTAAAAAAATATGATTTTTTTCATAATTTTTTACCACGTAGTTTTTTCTTAAAAAAATAAAATAAATTTGCAATTTAACATAGGCTCTTATGGGAGCTCAGATAAATCTTAGAAAAAAGTGTGAAGGAAATGAGAGAAAAATCTGTGGTTTTGTATATATGGATAGACAATGTCAAAAAGTTTAAACTGGAAGATTTTAGAAAAAGTTTACCACAGATTTAATGAATAAATAATTATTAAAGTTTTAGTTTTCAGAACAGTAATAATTGTATAAGTATCAAACACAAAAACACATAAAAATGTGGCAACATCGCAACAACACACAACCTCAAAAAAATACAAATTTGATCTGTACATTTGAAACACAGGTTTACAAATTAAAAACTTTTTTTTGCCAATCGAACAAAACAATTTTTTTTCGAATAGTAGGTGTTTTTTGAGTAAGAAAATCATAGTTTTAATTTTTTTCCCTCGTGCAGTTTTTCTGTAGCTTCAAATTTTGCATTTTCGAGGTGCGACGCCACTTAAACTTACCTGTAGGAAAATTAGCTTGTCAAAATATAATAAATGAGGTATCATTAGAAAGGTTATTAAATTACCTTTCGATCCATAGGTCACAGAATAAAATTCAACAAAAATTGAGAGAGTTACAGTCGATTAAAGATGAAATTTCATGACAATTTTGATGATTTTTAGACATTTGAGTAACTTCTACTATTTTTTTCTACATCAAACAGGAAAGAATGTTTAGGTTTTAATTTTTTTATTGATAGACTATATCATTACACAAATTTTGAGCCCTTGTGGACCTCGATTGGATTAAAAATGACAATTCTACACTAAATTTAGTGAACGAAACTACATTCTTCATTTTTAGTATCCCTTAAACATTTGCAGCAAAAATTAAAGTAATAAAATTTAGTTAAGCTCTAAAGTTACTAAAATCACTAATAAACGATTTCTGAAATCGTAGATTTCGAATCCAATGTTAGTTTTCTAAATTTCAAAATGGCGGATCCAATATGGCGGACAAGTTTTTAAAAATCGATTAAATTCGTCTTAAATTCGTTACTCGGGGGTTTTCGGGGTCGCTGATTACGAATCTGATGTCAGATTTTAAAAATTAAAAATGGCGGGTCCAATAGGTGCGAATTCGATGGATTTTAAAAAACTCGTTCACCATTATGAATCCATCCTTTTCAATTTTCGAAATCCGACATCAGATTCGTAATCAGCGACCCCGAAAACCCCCGAGTAACGAATTTAAGACGAATTTAATCGATTTTTAAAAACTTGTCCGCCATATTGGATCCGCCATTTTGAAATTTAGAAAACTAACATTGGTTTCGAAATCTACAATTTCAGAAATCCTTTATTAGTGATTTTAGTAACTTTAGAGCTTAACTAAATTTTATTACTTCAATTTTTGCTGCAAATGTTTAAGGGATACTAAAAATGAAGAATGTAGTTTCGTTCACTAAATTTAGTGTAGAATTGTCATTTTTAATCCAATCGAGGTCCACAAGGGCTCAAAATTTGTGTAATGATATAGTCTATCAATAAAAAAATTAAAACCTAAACATTCTTTCCTGTTTGATGTAGAAAAAAAATAGTAGAAGTTACTCAAATGTCTAAAAATCATCAAAATTGTCATGAAATTTCATCTTTAATCGACTGTAACTCTCTCAATTTTTGTTGAATTTTATTCTGTGACCTATGGATCGAAAGGTAATTTAATAACCTTTCTAATGATATCTCATTTATTATATTTTGACAAGCTAATTTTCCTACAGGTAAGTTTAAGTGGCGTCGCACCTCGAAAATGCAAAATTTGAAGCTACAGAAAAACTGCACGAGGGAAAAAAATTAAAACTATGATTTTCTTACTCAAAAAACACCTACTATTCGAAAAAAAATTGTTTTGTTCGATTGACAATTTCACTGTAAACCAGTGAAATTAATAATATTCCTTA